CAGGATTGCAGATCTAAATGCATTTAGCTCACAAATGGCTTTATATAAAATGTGGGAAGCTTTACAGTGTTATAGATTGTAATTTTATTTATAAGGTGACTGGGACGTCATGAGTGCCATCAAGGGCTTCTTCCCTTATAAACAGGCACATTTTGGAAAAGAAATGGTTAACATTCATTTTTTCATAGTTTATGTAACTATGACCCCTAATGACTCATGTTTACAAGCAGTTATGTGATTCTGCAGAGTACTGATTAATTTTTATGCAGCTTTGAAAGCTGTCATAATTTGCAAATTTTGCACTAATAGGAAATAAAGTAACCAAATCACTCCTAACTACAGACACTAATACTAAGCTGAGTTAATGCAATTAACCTTACAATAGTACTTTTTTTGGATTCACAGTATGACGAAGCATAGGTCACGGATTTACAGCCTTTGCCCAGCCAGGACAGGTCAAGATTTCCTTTTATTTTTAAAAATCTAATAATAATTCATATTAATGCGCTGAGCATTAATTTGTTTGAGCATTAATCAAACTTTAAAATCAGGGTAAATTTAGCAGATGCTCTCACAAACATCTGTAGCTCTTGTTAAAACAATAAAACAAAATTGGTTTTCTTGGAAGGTCAGCCTAAATGTCACTTCTGTCTGCCTTATCCTTAAGGATAGAATTTATTTGGAGAAACAATTTGTATGAAACTGTTTAGTGTCATAAATTCCCAGTCCCAAAGCTACCAAGAGTGTCTCCTGGCTAAATATTGTACCTGGCTCTCTTACAGCTTTTCTGGTTTGTCTTATGCTTTAGAAGGAGCTCAGCAATTGTTACTTTTAATATCTAAAAAAACCACAAACATCAATACTTCGTTTTTTTTAAAAAAAATGAAGGGCATGCTACTTTGAAAAAGAAGCACTTATATTGTGCTCTGCTTAAACATATTGTGTCTAATGAAAAAACACTCTGCAAGAAGAACAGCTTGGGTAAGACTATATATACAAAAATTATTTTCTTCTGGCAGCATAACAGTTTATTGCTTGTTAGTCATAAAACTAAAGTAATTTACTTCTCAGTTGAAGACTTCTAACACTGGTTATCACCACCCTTCAGCAGGTGGGTAGAAACCATAACAGAACCAATAATTTTTAACCATACAACCAGACTTTCAAGAATCTTGGCCCAAATTTTGAGGCAAGGATTCCTGTGATCTCAGCATCACACCTGCATTGCTCTCCTCCACTGAGTGTAAAGAAAACAAATCAGCTTGCCTGCAAGAAGCAGTCTTGTCACAATATGTCAGAGCTCGACACAGGGTGATTCCTCCTGTGGAGAATCTGAATATAGCTTAGATAAGACATCTGAACTTACACTGCTTCTTTTGTTTCTAAATAATATTGGATGTTTTGAGGATCCAGACACATAGGATAGGTGTAGACAAGTGAATCTGTAAAAAGGGTAGTCACAACCCCTCAGGTGCCAGAAAGTATTTTTTTACATTTCTTCTTTATTTCATTGTTTTAATTCTTCTACCCAGATGTTAGTTTCTGTTTGATTTATAGGGTTTTTAAAATGTCTTTGCATATGAAGTATTTTAAAATACTTCCAATTATGCCAACGGACAGTACAAGAGGGGAAAAAAAATAATTCTATTTTGGTTCTTACTTATGTTGTCAGCTTAAGAGGGAAGAAGGGAGCAAAGTACCAAACCCATAGGAATCCTGAGCTAATGAGAGGTTAGTAAGCATTATTGGTGTATAATTAATGTCTGAATGTCTTTGAAATTTTGTAATTGCTGACCATTAGTTATTTAGTATAATAAAAGTCTTAGAAGACCAAACTGTTGTTTTAGTGTCATTAGAAAATGGAAGAATGCAACCATTACCAGTGCTGCTGCAGATCACTGCTGCAGCATTCCTACTGAAGTTCACAACTGTTCAAAGACCTCAGATATATATCTCATTTCTGTCTTAGTTTATCAACCAAAATATTTCTAGCATTTTCATGTAACCTTTTGAAGGGAGCTTACAAAAAGGAAATGCAGTTTCAAACCATCTTTTGTCCTCAGTACAGAGTACATGCTTGAGAAACGCCTTCAGAATTCATTTTGAGCAGTCTTTTTAAAAGCATAGCTCCCAGTTAATACCATGATGGTAGCAAAACTGTCAGTGTGAAGCATTCTGAGATAATGAATCAATTAAATACTTCAGTTTCTACACACACAAAAAAAAAAAGACTTTAATGACTATTCATATCAAATAATGATGCATAAATCGGGACATGTAGGACAAAGGTCTTATAATAGCCTATCTCTTTTTCTCAGTTGGGATAACACACAACGAAATAAGCAGAGAAAACAGAAATAAGGATGTTTACTAATATAAAGTAAGTGAGTCAAAGAACAGTTCTTTATCAACTTCATTGCTTATTTCATTGCAACCTACTAATCAACTTCTCAAGAGCTATATGTATCTAGAACACAAATTAAGGTCCAGAGTTGGACTAAGAATTAGAGTTGTATTTTAAGGCTCGATGGTGGTATGCTCCCCTGTTTTGGGCCTTCTGTGTTTAGGGGGTAGTATTTTCTTTGGCTGTAACATCAAATAACCAAAAATTAGTCCCCTGGCTTGGAATGCAAGCATCAGCATCAGTGCAAGCATTTACTTT